ACTGTCAAATTTTAGCCCATTTCGACACCGTCGCGAAAAATGACTAAATTGCCCTTGGCGCGATTTTTGTTTTCGATAAACCGGTCAAATTTTAGCCCATTTCAACGCCGTCGTGAAAAATGACGAAATTGCCCCCGGCGCAATTTTTGTTTCCGATCAACCAGTCAAATTTGAGCCCATTCCAACACCGTCTGGAAAAAAAATATATCCTTCAAAAAACTAATATCCCACCTTGAAGATCACTAAAACTTTCTAAGAGGTGACTCCTTTAAAAATGAGCTAAAGGAGCATCACGTAAATAAAAATTACTTGAGCCTTCAAGTATAATATTAAGAGATGAGCCCATCAAGATAATTAAAATATTTTTTGGAAAAAATGTTCATATTGTTCAATTAATATATGAAGACCAAACCGGTTTAGAGGTCGGTTCCCATTTTTTTGGTTGAAGGATCGGATAATCGAATCGAATATTCGATAACATAACAAACCGGATATGGATTTAACAATCAAATATTCGTTGGATTATCTGATAGATAATTATTCTTAACGAATCGGATCGAATTTGAACAGATCCGATCCATATCCAATCCATTGACAGCTCTAATCACGTTGGTCCAAGCATCCTCGTCTTGTATGCCACCTATAGACGAGCCATGTTGCCAAATTGTTCTTGTCTTTTTTATTATTTTTTTTTCTTTTAATTGGGCTGGCTCTTTTTTAATTAAAGCCTCCGTTCGATCCACATTTTTTCTCCCATAATGCATTTTTTTACACTACATCATGGTGGGACCTCTGCATTATTATGCCTCTTTCATATGTGTTATATGAAACAACATTTCCCATTATACCCTTTTGTCATTTTATAGTGAACCACAAGCTAACCCATGTGAAATTGTTTGAATAGTCAAAGGCTACTATTTCCCTAATTGATGCCAAAGCTACAGCACACGTGAATCACATACAGCCCATCATTATCGACAGAAATAAGAAAATAAATGACCAAGGAAAAAAGCCCACAAATAATTTAATTCAAGCAAAACAAACGTTGAACAATTTGAACGCATTTGACATCGTCCCAAGTGATAAATCAAAATTTTTTTCCCGTTGTGTAATACAATTCTTTCGCTTTTCGATACATGTAAAAAATTTAAGCATACTAATCCACGAACATCACAGGCTCGAAAAATATTTGAAGAATAAAATTAACGTATAAACGTAACAATTTTAAATTGGAATAGGCTGATAATAGGGACAGGCCCTCAAGCAAAAAGATAGACCGAGCCCACCAAAAAGGCCACGATGCCTCAACAATACGTGTTACTAAAACTACCCCTCTACTCATGTTTAAATATCAACAATGCCGTCGGTGACATTGTTAAAATGGTCCCGTTT